TCTTCATTGTTTTTTAAATGATTAGAAATTATTGAAATCGCTAAACATTCTACATTAAAAAAAAATGGTCGGTATAAATTTTTGTTACACAAATATGCAAATAATCATAAAATCATTTGGGTAGAAACTTCATTTAATAAATATCCATATTAAAAGTACATTATATCTATGTTAATAACATTTAAATTTAATTATATATCATATACGATAGATGATATTGACTGAATTGATTTATTTACCCTAAAATGATTAAACAAGAACGGTCGTTTGATTTATATGCACACGCAAATTTATTACATAATAGTTTAGTAACTGATTTCTTAGTTTTTAATATATAATAATTATTTCATTATTTTATAATATGTAGAAAAACATAAAACAAATATAAAATCTTTTATGGTAATTAAAACGGACATGAGCAAAGCGTACGACAAGGTGGAGTGGAATTTTATAAAGGCGTTTATATAAGATGGGTTTTGACCCTCATTGGGTACATCTAATGGTGGAGTGTATATCGTCCATCCAGTATCAGGGTTTATTGAATGGCCAACCTCGTGGGCTCATCACTCCACATAGAGGACTTCGATAAGGAGACCATGTATCCCTGTATTTGTTCATTATGTGTACAGAAGTATTGATTACAAATACCAAAAAAGCGGAAAGACAAACAACTCACCGGGTTGAAGGTTGCCAGAGCCTGTCCATCAATCTCCCATCTCCTGTTTACCGATGATAGTCTCTTCTTCTGTAAAGCACAAAGGAAAGAGTGCCAGACTATTCTCAAGATCCTTAAGCAATATGAGGCGGTAGTTTTGGGCAATTGATAAATTTTCAAAAGTCTCCAATCCAATTTGAACACAAGCTTGAAGAATCAATTCGTCAGGAGTTAAGAACATTTTGGGTATACAAAACATAGGAGGAATGGGATCTTATTTGGGATTACCAGAGAATCTTGGAAGGTCTAAAATACAAGTGTCCGGCTTTGTACAAGAACGCCTCAATAGCAAGGTAACTGGTTGGACTTTTCGTTTTTCACTAAGGGAGGTAAATAAATGATTATCAAATCTGTGGTTACGGCTTTGCCCAACCACGTGATGTCCTGCTATCGTTTACCTAAGGCACCTACAAAGAAACTAACGAGTGCAGTAACACATTTTTGGTGGAGTCCTGGGGGAAGTACAAGAAGAATGCACTGGAAAACATAGGACAAATTGTGTATAAATAAAGAGGAGGGAGGTCTAGGTTTTAAAGATCTCGAGGATTTTACTACGGCTGTGCTTGGTAACCAGATATGGATGCTAATAGAGAAAACAAATACTTTGTTTTCTTGAGTTTTTAAGGATCGGTAATACAGGAATGCATCACCCCTGGAACTGATCAGATCACTCTCTCCCTCATATGGCTGGTGGAGTATGGTTTCTGCTAGATTTCTGGTTAGCAAAGGACTTATCAAACGCGTGGGATCAGGATCATCCATCTCTGTATGTAATGATCCATGGATCCCAACCACCCGCCTAAGACCACCAAACAAAAATCAACATAATCTTTACCTGGAACTCACAGTGGCTTCCCTCATCAATTCAAATTCCCGGAGTTGGAATATGAATGCTGTCAGGGCTTTGATAGACCCTCAAGATGCAAAACTTATAGAGAGCATACCACTTGGCAGGTCACAAAAGGAAGATAGGGATGGATGGCATTTTAATAACGATGGTAAATATACGATCAAGTTTGGGTACTAGGTGGAAAGGGTATATCCAGACAAGGAAAAACCACCTGTGGTGGTAGGTCCCACAGTGGATATATTGAAAGAATTTTCCTGGAAAATTCGATGTCCCCCGAAGATAAAACATTTTTTATGGCAACTGATATCAGGATGTGTGTTGGTCAAGAAAAAATTGAAAGCAACGGGGATCCAAGGAGATACATGTTGTTCCAGATGTGGAGTAGATGAGGAATCGTTAACCATGTATTTTTTTAATGTCCTCCAGTGCGTCATGTTTGGGCACTATCAAGGATACCTTCCAACCCGGCAATTTTTCCGACATAAGCTTTTTTCACGAATATGGATCATTTATTTTGGCGGGTAGTCCCAAAAATGGATGATCATTTATTTGCGTGGATATTATGGTACATTTGGAAAGGGAAAATAGTAAGACTTTCAGCAATTTGGATGTTGATCCCAGGGATACTCTAAAAGTCGTGGAGACTGAAAGGCCCAAGTGAAAAAATTACAATGTACATGATAACACAGGGAGATAAGGACTACACTTTCCATATCAGGACGGTGGTGCTTCATCAATAGTTCGTGGAAAGATAAGGAATGTTTCTCAGGTCAGGGTTGGTATAGTACTCTCGAAGGATTTGTTGATTTGTTGGTTTGATGGGAGCAAGAAACGTTCGCGCTAGTCTTTAACCTCTACATGATGAGGTGGATGCATTAATTTGGGAAATGGAGAGTATGAGGAATTTGCGATAGCTTCATGTCACTTTTGCAACAGATTATTCTCAATTGGTGAAGATGGTTTCGGAACCAGAGGAATGGCCTGCTTTTGCAATGTACTTGGAGGATATCAAGACACTCAAGAGAAATTTCACAAGCTCAGATATTATCTATGTACCAAGGACGCAGAATACTAAAGCGAATAAGCTAGCACGCAGTGTTAGGAAACAATGGTCATTCGTCATTCACATGAATACAGAGCGACCAATTTGGTTTACATGGTCTATATGAGTCTGTAATAAGTTGATGTCAAATATATATATATATATATATATATATATATATATAAAATCTTTATTCTGCACAAGACACGGATCTTAACCTAAGTATGTATCTCTTTAACAATTTTAAATCTTACACATTTTCTAAATTTCAGGCCAAAACAAAAAAACGAAATGAGAATAAACTCAAAAGTTAATATTTATATCTAACAATAACCAAAATGAAAAAAACGACACCAAAAAGAGAAAAAATATTGAAGATATATATGATTGGCACATAAACATAAATTTTTCATAACCATAATTAGCTTTTAAATTTTTACATAATGATGTAAAACTAAGATGACATAGTTTCATTGTAAACAAATAGTAGACCTGAGATTCTTCAGCCTAAACATTAGGTTCTTATGCAATAAGTGTTTTTGACCTAAAATATTTTTAGAAATGAGATCAGCTCATGAGTCAACAAATTATGTAATTAAAAAAAAAAGTTTTAAAAAATTGTTTAAAGGCCAAAAGTATTAATTCGATCAAAAATATAATTTTGTTTTTCGATACGATATTTCTTAAATAATTTTCATCATCCAGCTAAACGCAGATCTTATCCTAGTTAACATGTTTTGTATATCGTAGCCACAATATTCATCAATGTGTTTTCTCCCTTTACTCATGAATGATGCAATGATAAATTATATCAAATTTTCCTTCTTCTAAAGTTCTACTTAGATTTTTGTTTAACTTGAAAGTCATTGACAGTAATCCATCATCAATAAATCATATCTCTAAATAATTAGGTTTGAATTGATAAAAAAGAAAAAGTTTGGACTTTATATCTGGGATTCTTTTCTGGTCAATTCGACAAGTTTGTTTTTATTTAAAGATCAAAATCGTAAATGTGAGACAATTTCGGTACGTTTCTAATAAAAACATATAGATTTATAGGTACTGTATATGTACATAATTTTGTTACTATTATTAAGGACGGTGCGGTGCGATCGGTCGCCCCTATGACTACTTCGGATATTTTGCGTCAGTTTAAAGATGCAGTCTCAAGATGTTCTTTCATTTTGTGGTTGGCTATGCTTCAAAATTAAATGTGCGTTTGTTTGCGGAGAGTTTGCTCGTGTTTCATATGGTGAAATCGTGGACTAACGAAGGCCGTCTCAATTATTGATGGTTTTCTCTTACAATATATTCCACGGATTTGGAACGAATATGTAGTCGTTGGTCAAATAATTGAATGGTCAACGTTTCAGTTATACAAGTTGGGAATAATCTACAAACATTTTGCCTCATGTCATGTACCCCAGTCACCAATTTACCCATTCATCATGCCTTACACAACCATTCATTATCTTTATATATATGATACCACAACAGCTGAAGTCTGAAGCTGTCTCCAACTTCCTAAAGTTAATACTGGCATTACTTATTTGGAAAAATAACAACAAAATGACTTGGTTAGAAAAATTGGAAACCATATTCTAATTGAGTAATTTATGTTGAACAGTACTCTTAAATCACTAGACTACTACTTCTCTTGACTTCTCTCTATATCAAAACTAACAAGACCAATTGCATTCTTTCATAATATAAATCAGAATTAAAACATCCCTATCCATGAAATGTTAACAAGATTCATTACTCATAGCAAACCAACCCAATGTGTACTAAGAGCATCATCTCTTACTCTGTTCTATTTTAATTCCAAAATAGAATTTTGAATAACAGATGTTTCAACCATCATAAATAGAAAATAAAATTACTCCTTTGTTGGAGTAATGATTTTTTTTTCAGTGATCAATCTATTTGTGAAAGTGAAAATATGATCGAATAAAAACTTAACTCCATTAAAAAAAAATAGGATCATATATTGGGAATGCTCTGTAAGAAAAAGCAAGTGACACTATAATATAGGTTGCATCAATCTGAGCATATTAAACTATAGCTTCCTGTCACTATAATCGGATAATATGAAATTTTAATAATCAGTTGGTATAGATAATGATTCAAAATCTATAATTACTTTTGCATCAAATGGCAGTGTACGGACGAGTTCCACAAGTATGTCATTAGATTAGCTTGGGGGAAAAACTGAATACTTCCTTACGTTTAGGGCAAAATGCAAAAACCGAAAATTACAATTTAGCCCACATTACTCGGGAAACCCTATTTACTCGTGCACTTTTTGGCCATCTTCAACAATTCTCGTTGTTATCGTATTAAAATCTTTACTCACTCATCGGAGAAGGCTTTTTGTTTTGGTCAACAACAACTCGATTTCATCTCACCTCTGACAAACGAAGAAGTTAAAGTCAAAATCTCTTACAACAATCTCTCAGATTCGCCTTTAGTGTTTCTTCTTTCTGTCGGCAATTTCTGGTATGGGGGAGACGGGAAGACACAGATGGTTTCCATTTCACCACCACCGCTCAGCCTCCGCCACGTCTATGCCACAACACAACCCCGGCGAAACTCCGACTGAATTCCTCTGTCCAATCACCGGCTTTCTAATGTCGGATCCCGTAGTCGTCGCATCGGGTCAGACATTTGAGCGTATCTCCGTCCAAGTTTGTCGGAACCTCGGGTTTGCTCCGAAGCTCCACGACGGGAGTCAACCCGATTTGTCAACTGTAATCCCAAACCTCGCAATGAAGTCAACAATTCTCAGCTGGTGCAAAAGGAAGAAAGTGGATCATCCACGACCTCCTGACTACGCTTACGTCGAAGGTGTGGTTCGTACCCGTATGGATAAAGAACCCGGTACGGGTAACCGGGTCGCGAGATCGGAGATTTTGCCTCCCGTCGCTGAGAATTCTCCGTCGGATTACGACTCCGTCATGGGAGCGATTCGTTCTCGGTCGAGAAACTCGATATCGTCCTCTAATTCGCTTCCGCTCCACCATCCCCGACCCGTTAGTCACTCAGCGTTCTCAATGTCATCAGAACCGGAGAATCCAAACCGGATCCAAGGCTCATTCTCTACCTCCGATTACTCATCTTACCCTCCAATGTCACAAGAAGAAGAAGAGATTTTCAACAAACTGAGAAGCGCCAACACAGTTGATCACGAACAAGGTTTGATTCTTCTCAGGAAGACTACAAGAACCAGCGAGAGCTCGAGGATTTCGCTCTGTACGGACCAGATCCTCTCCTTGCTCCGGTCTTTAATCGTGTCTCGTTACAACATCGTTCAGACAAACGCTGCCGCGTCTCTGGTCAACCTCTCGTTAGAGAAACCGAACAAGTTGAAGATAGTTCGGTCTGGTTTCGTTCCCTTATTAATTGATGTTTTGAAGTCAGGATCAGCGGAGGCGCAAGAGCATGTCATCGGAGCTTTGTTCAGTTTAGCGGTTGAGGAAGAGAACAAGATGGTGATCGGAGTTCTCGGTGCGGTGGAGCCGCTGCTTCACGCTCTGAGATCATCAGAGAGCGAAAGAGCGCGTCAAGACGCAGCTCTTGCGCTTTACCACCTGTCGTTGATACCGAACAACAGGACCAGGCTGGTCCGAGCTGGTGCGGTGCCGATGATGCTGTCGATGGTGAGGTCAGGCGAATCTGCGAGCAGGATTCTTTTATTGCTGTGTAACCTCGCGGCTTGTTCGGAAGGGAAAGGAGCGATGCTTGATGGAAACGGAGTGGCGATACTTGTTGGGAAGCTTAGAGAAGGTGGAGCTGATTCAGAGGCGGCGCGTGAGAATTGCGTGGGGGCTTTGTTGACGCTGAGTGTTGGGAATATGAGGTTTAGGGGACTGGCCAGTGAGGCTGGAGCTGAGGAGATTCTGACGGAGATTGTGGAGAGTGAGAGTGGAAGTGAGAGGTTGAAGGAGAAGGCGGGGAAGATTCTGCAGGCAATGAGAGGCGGAGAGAGGGAGTTTGGAGAAGGTGCGGAGGCGCGTGAGTGGAACCGGATGTTGGAAGCGAGTGGGCTAAGTCGTTCTCAGTTTCAAGGAGGGCAAAAGGAAGGTTTCGCTTATTCTTCTCAATTTTAACGTAATTCAAACCCTTTTTTAATTTCTTTTTTTTGGTACAAATACTTTTTTCAAGGTTTTTTTTCACTCTTCACATTTTTTTTTTCGTTTTACTATGTATACTGGGGAACAAAGGGAGTTGACAGTTATTTTGGGAGTGAATTTGTAATATTTGATTTGTTTTTAACAATGAAAACGACAACAAGGTAAATGTGTGTTCGTTTGCTTGTATTTCATATGTGAGGCCTAGTCGTAGAGGACTAAAACAAAAGTCGTCTCAATTATTGGTAGATTTTTTTTCTTATGATATATCACACGGATTCGGAACAAGGAACTAGTCGTTAGTCAAATAGATGTATAGTCAATGTTTCAAGTTGGAATAATCTACAATCATTCTTTGCCTGATGTCATGTGCTCCAGTCACCAATTTGGCATTCATCATGCCTGCACAAGCACAAACCATACATTCTTTTTTGTTTTCACGTATGTTACCACAACAGCCGAAGACTGAGTATTCGAATGGAGTAGACGAGATAAGTGCAGTCTTCTGTACTGCATTTATTATTCACTTTTTTTTTTTTTTTTTTGTAAAAACAGTTTAATTGAAAGATGGGAGAATTTGCCAACTAACCAATTTTGGAGTCAAAATTAAGAAAATAGCTTTGATTTTGACATTATTAAGTATATAACATTTCATACACGTTTTGTCCGGTTATATCCTTACCGTCTTCAAGTAGCCGGTGACAAAATATTAAGGGATGACGTCGACGAGTGCATATAAGACCAAGAGAAATTGAAGTTGAAAATTGTTCAATTTATCAACAATTACTTGTGTCCAATTAATTATTGTAAAGACTTGATTAAATGTTTAACTTCTTCTGGTTTTTTCTGCAACCATCGGACTGAATCCAAAAGATAAGAACATGTTGGAAGAAACATATGGATTATTGGTTATTGAGTTTTTAATAGTTATGATGATGTCTTTTAAAATACAGTGTACGAGAACTTCCGTAAAATACGAAATATAAACAGAGTGTACAGAACAAGAAGACAAACGATGGAGACGATGATGACGACATTGTTTTCTATGTACAAAAAAATGGAATAGAATATCCGTAAATAGAATAAAAAATAGTCCATTCTATTTACATAATCAAATTAATGTTATACTTCTAACCTCATATTCACCCTAAATACTAACCTCATATCCAACCACTTAAATACTAAAACCCATAATAAATCCATAATAAACCCCTAATATTACAGGTTACAGGTTCAAAAACATGTAATGATAGTTAGAACACAAGAAAATTTCAAACAATATTACTAAATAAAATAGAACACTTTTTATTAATCGTCAAATGGAATGGAATATGATCAAATAGTATGGTAACAGAATAAATCGCATTATTTTACATTTCTATTCTATATACATGTAATAGAATAGAACACAATTTAATATAATCACTAAATTCCATTTACCTTCTATATACTAAACCCTAAACTCTAATCACTAAATTCTAACCCAAATATAAACCATAAATACAAATAGAATAGAACAGAATAAATAATATAACACATAGTTAAAAAATTATGAAATGTCTATTATTGTATGGAAGAACACATGATATAAAAGTTTAGGAGTGTTCTAATCCATGTCACCAAAATAATATATAACACCAATCTCATACCAACCCTCAATAATAACCATATAGCAACCCCACCATAAGCCCTTAGATACTTAACCTTAAACCATAATTACTAAACCCTAAACTCAAATATAAACCCTAAACCCAAATATAAATCTTCTACCTAAATAGAATGAAACTAATTAAATAGTATAGTACATGTTGGGAAAAATACTCCGGTGTGGAGTCCACACTCTATAACAAGGGATCGACATTCAGAGGTTAAGACATTAGAACTAAGCAGCTAAAACAAGGGTTTATAATGTTTAGTTTTGATCAATACACATAAACTAAAATTTATATCAATGATACAACAACAAAGCATAACTTTTGCTTATGCACTGTACAATCATATTTATATTCTATGTTCTGCAAATAGAATAGAATACAAGAAATATTAAAGATCCTATAATCCATTTCACATGAATGGTCTTTCCATTTTACATACACACGATCTATTCCATTTATATACACATTACATCATTACATATAAATGAGAATATATTCACCAGATGGCTAAACTTCAGTTTTGAACAATCTACTTGACAGACTAAACCTTCTATTTGTAACCTGAGAAACAAAATCAAAAGATAAAGGTGTTAGGATTCATAATCGTTGAACACATAAGGAAATGAACTATATTTCGAACATCACAATTGTTGATAAAGAATTTAAGGTATAAGTGTAATGTCATGCTTTCAATTTGAAATAGAATAGTTTGATCATATAAATCAATATGTTCACTTGCAATTAGAATATTCATAACAGATCTTTCGATATGTACACACACAAACAAAAACAACAGACATACGTGTAATATTATTCTTCTCCACTGAAGAAGAATAGTTTGATCATATAAATAATTCTCTTCCATATCAATTATAGTAGTCATAAAAAATCTTCCAATATGTACACACACATAGATAAACATATTTATTTGCAGCTTCTATTTCATACAACAAACTAGTATACATAATGGTGAGACATATGTTATATATCATTCAGCTCCGTGTATTGCTATTCTATATGGTAAAATAGTATAAATCTCAGAATAAACTAAACCCTATTAATTAAGACTAAACACTATTAGTGAGCAAAATACATATTGGTGAGTAATTATAGACCCTAAACCCAAATATAATTAGAACAAAATATATAAAATAGTACATATTGATGAGCAAAATAGAACACTCATTATTAATCATCAAATAGAACGATACATGATATGGTTACTAAACTCAAACCTCAACCCCCACCTTCTAAATACTAATCATAAATCCTAATCATTAAACCCTAAACCCAAGTATAAATTCTAAACCCAAAAAGAAGGAAACAAAATAGATAGAATACGACATATTGGTGAGCAAAATAGAACACTCTTTATTAATCATCAAATAGAACAATATATATGATAGGGTCACTAAACCCAATCCTCAACCCCCACCTTCCAAATACTAAACCCTAAATCCTAATCACTAAACCCTAAACCCAAGTATAGACCCTAAACTCAAATAGAATAGAACAAAATAGATAAAATAGTACATATTGGTGACCAAAATAGAACACTCTTTATTAATCATCAAATGGAACAATACATAATATGGTCACTATATCCATCATCAACCTTCACCTTCCAAATGCTAAACCCTAAATTCTAATCACTAAACCTTAAACTCAAATATAGACCATAAATCCAAATAGAATGGAATAAAATAGATAGAATAGTACATATTGGTGAGCAAAATATAATGAAAGTTATTTTTGATCGAAAAGCTATTTCAGATGGGTATCTCCTAGAATGAAAGTTATTTTTGATGGCAAAGCAAAATAGAATGAAAGTTATCTCCTAGAAGAAACTGCTCACGTTATACAAGTTATGTGATTCTACAAAGGCCACGATTTACAATTTTACACCAAATAAAAAATAATTTTCTTTTTTTTTATACGGAAATATAAACCTTAATACAAGTATAAAAATACGTAAATTTAAGTACAAATATGAATTCAGAAGCTAAAGAAAGTGATATTGAACGTTCGAATTTATTCTATTCCAAGTCAAATAGAATATAAATGTATATATTTTATTCTATTCCAAGTTAAATGGAATATACCTAACGAAGATGATATCATCTCCAGACGGTGAAACCCGTATGTAAAGCAGATGCTATTTCATATCAAAACAGGTGAAATCAGATCCACGACATCAACGATATGAAAGCTACTTACATCCATGAATCAAAATAAGAGAATATTATCATAGAAATAAACCAATCTAGACGCTAAAACAAACCGGTTTTTACTGGAACAAAGGGGGTGGTAGCAAAAGAAGATCTACGACCTTCCTTCCTTCCTACACAGTAAAATCTCTTAGCAGATCGAAGGAATCAGATGGGATGACTTTTTTCTCTATCTCTCTCTTTCTCTCCCAATCGTTTCTTTTTCCCTTGTTTTTCGAAGCAGAGTATAACAGAATTACAAACCACGAAGGAAAAGTTAAAATCTGAGATAATCAAGAGAACGTGACGGTGTTTCTTCACTCGGTGTCGGAGACCTTCGAACTTTGTTCGTAGTTACCAAGAGGAATAAAAGAAGGATGTGAAAGGAAAATAGGACACGATCTACTTTTCATGGATAAGAATAAAGACTTTCAATTGTTTTTTGGTTGCAGGTTTCACCGGTTGACAAAAGGGACAAAACAGTATTAATATGGAAAAGTAACGCCGTGTATATGACTGTTAGGAAAATTGGCTAGTTTGTGAATTATATGTTTTTGTTTGGTTATACATCACAATTCCCCTTGAAAGATCTACTGTTAACATTTGGTGGTGTAGATCTACTTTTTTTTTCTAATAAATAATTTGGTTACAAACACTTAATTTTAAAATATATCTATCTGATTTTATAAATAATGTATAATGGTTAACTCAAACTATATAGTTCACACTAATATTATTTGTGTCATTTTAAAATTATAAACATGACGTTTCAATCGCTTACAAAACACAACATTTTTCAAAGAAAAGTTATAAATTTTCCTACATAAATATCAACAAGAGTAAAGTAATTAATATTTTTTTATGTTTTAAAATAGTTAATATATAGGTAAATGATTGAAATTTTGTAAATCTATTGAGAGAAAGCAATTTTAGATAGACTCTTAACTGAAAATAAGTATTTATTGAGTTGTACAATCAAATAATTTTCAGGACTAGTTACCGTTCTAAAGATTCTACACCCACTAGTAGAAAGATATTCGTCTAGAATAGGAGGCTCAATAATATTCATTACTCATAACAGAGGTATTTATACAAGTATACGAAATAGGGTAAACATATTCTATACTAATTACATCCAGCTCCTTGTACTATCTACTATATACTTAACATTCCCCCTCAAGATGGTGGGAGTTGACGTACGCCAATCTTGTTTCGTAGTTCTTGAAACCGTGCGCGTGGGAGTGGTTTAGTAAGACCATCGGCCAGTTGATCAGTAGTCGGCACATGGGAGACACGTAAGACTCTGTTCTGTATTTGACCGCGAACGAAGTGGTAATCTAGGGTGAGATGTTTCATACGCGTATGGAAGACAAGGTTGGCACAAAGGTAGGTTGCACCAAGGTTGTCACAGTATA